CAAACAGTTACAGAATAGTCAATGAACATAAACTGCTTTCTAAATGCAATGTCAGAAGTTTTTACCAGTATGTCAACAAAAAAATGCTATCGCGTCCCAATGTCAGTAGTTTAAAGTTAGATGACAATAGCGTGACCTATGACCCGCTGATAATGGCCAATGCATTCAACAAATATTTTTCTTCCGTATTTACACATGATAACAACTCCAATTGTTCCATACCTTGTCTAACCAACAACTTGTTAGAAGATATTAGTTTCACTCCCCATACAGTTTATACAACTCTGCGTAACTTAAAAAATTCAACCTCAGCTGGAACAGATGGTATACCGAATGTTGTCCTGAAGATGTGTGCATCTAACCTATCAGTTCCATTATTTCATATTTTTGATCTATCATTTAGAAATAACCAGCTACCAACTAAATGGAAATCTGCTATTGTTACTCCCATTCATAAAAAGGGTCCCACAAACCACCCCAGCAACTAACGACCTATTTCACTCACGAGTTCAAGTTGTAGAGCAATGGAAAAGATTATAAACAAAGTAATATTATCCTTTCTTTTAGAAAACAAACTAATTACGCATTTTCAACATGGTTTTCTACCTGGTAGATCAACCTGCACCAACTTAATGCAATTTTACAGCGACTGGATATCACTTTGTCAGAACAAAGAAGGCTGTGACATCATTTACCTCGATTTCCAAAAAGCTTTTGATTCTGTGTCACACTCGAAACTGGTCGGAAAATTGAGATCCTATGGAATAGCTGGTGATCTGCTTGCCTGGCTGTCGGACTTCTTGTCTCAAAGTTCCCAGCTTGTTAGAATTCAAAACAAATTATCCAATTCAGTATCGGTTACCAGTGGTGTCCCCCAAAGCAGTGTCTTGGGTCCAACTTTATTCATTGTCTTCATTAACGACATTGTTGAACGCATTTCATCTATTTCAGTTTCAAGTTTGCTATTCGCTGACGATATTAAATTATACAGCCGTTCATCCAACTCAGTTCAACTTCAACAGGCCATCAACGATATAACAGCTTGGAGCATCAAATGGCAGTTGCCACTCTCTCCGAGTAAATGCTGTCATTGCTCATTTCTTCCATCTTCGAGATCAACATTAGTTCCACATCAATATTATATAGATCAACATCTTCTCAGTTGCACAAATGACTTCAGAGATCTTGGTGTGATAGTGGACAGCAAATTCAACTTTAATGCGCATATCAACAACATCACTCACAAGGCTTCTTCCCGCGCTTGCTTAATCGTCAAATGTTTCACATCTAAGAATAAGGATCTACTTGTGAAGGCTTTTTGCAGTTATGTACGTCCTCTACTTGAATACTGCTCACCGCTATGGAATCCGCACTACAAATATCAAATAACCAAGATTGAAAATGTCAGAGAAGATTACCAA